CGTCAAAACACTACCGGTTCAAACCATAAATCGGCAGTGACGTGATCCTTCACTACTGGTTTTAGCTCAGCCCCAATCATTTTTTCATTTTCAAGTTCATAACCGACAGTGAAGGTACATCACTACCGGTTCTCACAAATTCGGCAGTGATGATGCTGTCAGTGATGTGCAATTCTAGCGTAATGACCGTACCCCTTTCAATTTGCTTCTACTTGATTTCCTTATTGGATACAGCTTTTGCGCTGTCATATCTTGGAAAATAAAATGGACACACGGTTTAGCAGCAAGGACTGAACTGTAAGCTTGACCACAGAGATACCCGTGCATACACGCCAGACGAGTCTCAGTCTGTCCCGTTTGACGACAAGACCAAAATGCATATACGCACCACCTAATTAATCACTGTACAGATGCCAAAACTTGGCTGTATTATATGGCTAATGCCCCATATAATTGTCAACTCCTTCAAATGGTTGCTGTAGCCCCAGCTTGCTGATGTGCAAGCAAGGAAGCGTCCACTTCATTCATTAACCGTATCGTACTGAAACCCCACCTGCAGGTCACCAGGGCAGCAACGCCACGGCACCCTACACGCACCATCAAGATAGGATAACCATCTCTTCATGGTGGCTGTCAAAATTATGCAGAGTCTCATGCATATGCATGCACTGCTCCAGTGCCCCCCCACATAAGCAAGCTTGAACCTCTCCTTTTCCATCTCAGGACAAGACGCTCATAGCTGGTTGATACTGATGCGCACGATGATACGATCTCGATCAGGGGATGATGGACTTGCCAAACCTCTCTTAAAGTCTTATGGGAACACCCGGCCGGACGTCGCAAAGACTCTCAGTGCTCGTTTGATCGCTGAAAACGACGATCGAGCTACCAGTGAGAAGCGAGACTCGACCGTTTCCCCTTGGCCGAGAGCAGCAGGAAGCTCGATCCATTTGAGCGCTAGCTAATGGATGATTAAAACGGGTGTCATATCATATCATAAACCGGTGGATCAGCTCGGTTTCTCCTAACCATCGTACCGTAGTAGATACCGATCGATGTGCAGAATGAATGAATGCCTCCTTTAGCCTTTTAGGCAGGGAGGGAAACAGGTAAACAACCGTCAGAAAAGTGATCACAGCCATGTGCTGAGTGAGCGCATCCAAAGTATTTAATGCTTCATGTACTAGTAATCCAAAGTAGTATCTCACTAATCCGTGTATCCCAAGTAAAATAATCGTTCGGTCCGCTCGCCAGTTGCCACATAGTCGCCGATCGAACGAAGCATACAGGAAACAACTTAACAAGAGGAGCCAGGAACGAACGCGCTTTCATTTTCCTATGGTTTCGTCGAGGTCCGTAGCCAGCGTAGGCGGCATGGAAAGAAAAATCGCGTCGGAAACGGGAGGATTCATCCGGCGCGGACGCCGGCTCTCACTCTGGTGGTAAGTGTGTGGCGTGGTCTCCCTCTCCCCCACCAAACCCAACGTGCGGCCCAGTTCTTTGGCATCAAATGCGACGACCCCCCGCGGCCGCGGCCTGATTGATCGGGCGGCGTGCCTGCGTGCGAGACATGCGGCTGCGAACGCGACCTCTGCAAGGCTCTCGCGCATCCTCTCGCGCGACCACGCCGATCTCGCCACCCACTCGTCTCGTCTCGTGCGAGATCGTCAACTGCTCGGCTCGTCCCCCTCCCTCCCAACCTCCCCCTACAGTCTTCAGACTATACAGAGGCGGGTGACCTTGACTTGGTGTATAAACAACAGCGGCTCGGAACATTCTATTCCCGTATTCCGGACACCATTTCTTTAGTGCCAAGCACAACGTCGCACAGCTACGGATTTAACAAGGCCAGGCCAGGCCACGCCGGCCTCTCTCTCTCTGCGTAGCTAACTGAAGAATCCGGTGAACCGTTGCCAAAGATCGGAGTCGCACCTAATAAAGAAAAACTCTGGCAATGATGGATCACCTAATCATAGGGGAGGAGGAGCTTTGGTCTAGAAACGATGTGTCCGTCTAATCTTGGTCGGGTGTGAACACTGCTTGGACTAACGAAACCGATCGGAGCTCTTGCGATGCACACTACTTTTCTGAAATTCGAGGCGCAATTTTTAAATGAACGACTCAGCTTTTAATTAGTTGTTAGGTCTAATATAAAGGAGCATCATGTATGATAATCTCCCTTTTCATTGTGAACGCAAAAGGAAACCCAAACTATGGTTAAGCTCACTGTCAGTCGAGCTGGCGGCTGGCCAGGGGCAAAGCAACACAGGGCCATGGCCGGACCGCCGGAGGGCCCCCGATGGCCGAGGAGCACGTGCGGCTAACCACCGTGGGGCTGTCCTGGTGGCTGACAGTGAGAGAGACCCACCGACAGCGAGCTCCACCTCCACTGGCTCGCGGGCAAAGCGAAAGCCGATTAGTCACCAGCAACTCTCGCCGCCGTCTCACTCGCTCCCTCCCTCCTTTTGGCCGGTTTCAGGTGTCTCATCTCGAGCTGTCGTAGCTGCGAAAGCGGCGTGGGCGACGGCCAGGATGTGGCGTCGTGGCGACCGAATGAACGGCCACGGCTTCTCTACGATCGCTCGGCGCCAGCTTCAACTCCTACCGGTAGACGGCTCTGTTGATTGCATTGCAAATTTGCAATCGCATGCAGTTTCGTGTCACAGTTGGAGAAGAGTACGTGGTCAAGAAATTTGGTGAGCTAACCTCCGTTCCGTGTCGTTTCGTGCGTAATGACCAAGCAAGCACGAAGTACTACTACTGCATATAAACCATGAGGTGGAAAAAAAAATCAAAATGTGTTTTCTCCATGTAGGGTCCTATAGCATTTGATGACATTGACAAGTTGAGGGTAATGGTAAAGGCCCTGTTCAGTAGGACTTATTGCTGCTACGGCTGATTTATAGGGCTAATTTGTTGTGAGCAATGGCTGAAAAGTAGGGCTGATTCTGACTGATAAGCTCAAGTAAACAAGGCCAAAGTTGTCATGAGCATTCTGTTCAGAGACCGTAATGATAGACCGTCAAGATGCCTAAAATAAAGTATTCCAGACATGATTTCAGATCATTGGCGCCTTTCCGAAAAGCTCCACCGGGCAACGCATGGCTTGCACATCTGATGCTTTTGGCCTTTTGCATTGCAAACTGAAAAGAAGCGAGGCTACCTGACGACACGCAGTGCGCGCCTACGAATTTCAGATCGATGTGTAAAAAAAAAAGCCTGATGATATATATAGATATATACTTACTTGGCTGCAGACAACATTCACGCACTAGCAAGCAAGGTACAAGCATGGATTACCTGCGAGGCGAATTCTGTCTGAACCCGATCAGAAATCACGTGGCTCGCTCTGGCCTCTGACATCTCCGCCTCACCATGCGTCTCGTTGCTGCTCCGGCATGAGATGGCCGGCAGCCCGGTACCCGGCAGCTCAGATCAAGTGTTTCTGTTCTTTCAATCCATCACGCCGTCGGGCATGCAATGGATGATAATAATCGGTTCTCTTGCCGTGGAATCACATCAAGCTTTACCATCAATTACCATCCCCAGTCCAGTCATTTCAATCAGCAAAAAGGGTTTTGTTGCTTGGCCCCGTGTGTGTTTGCAGGGAACAGGCAAACTTCAACATGCATGCATACACACTACTATTGCAATGCTTGTCTACAGCCAAAAAGAATGAGATTTGCGTGTACTATCTCTGATGGAGACAGTATACATAGGAGTAGGATTTTTATTTCCTAGTAGCTTGTTTGGCGATAGATACTGTATACTCCTACTAAAGATGGCGTTATGCATGTGCACGGGCCTTGCACGCAACGGCGACAGACAGTAACATCGCCATCAGCAGACAGCAGGATATCCTTGTCTGTATCGGAGAAGCCAGTACAGTGATCGTGTGGCTCCAGATTATTATGTTCTAGTGCGTGACATTGCACGTTTTTTTGTTCCAGAAAAAAACATTTGAAAGGTTGTATTGGAGAAATAAAACAATTTCCAAGCTCTGATGATCCTCATCGTACGCGACAAGTATCATTCGACATCAGTGTGACAGACTGACAGTGTGCGTGGTGGTCTTGGCACAAGTTCTGTAGAGGCCTTGATACTGCCAGTAGTGCATTTTTGTCCTAATAATCCAGTACAGATCACATATACTATGCATGCCATATATATACTCTTATATATACTTGAGAGGCTGGCAATTTGGCGCGTACATGCACCGTTTCACTGAAACGTGGCTCCCATGATAAAACCATACGTGCACGATCCTTCATTTTTGTTACCCATTTTGGTACCCCTCCGTCGTATATAACTTATATAAATTAAAACCGTTGAGAGTTGAGCTCATCATCAATAATAGACCAAAACTCCACAACAAATGGACATTGATATGCCTCGCTTTTGTTCTCCACCTTCCGATGACCGCCGTGGCCCAGCTGCCAGCGGCAAAGCCGTGCACACACGACACGCACCAACAAACCTCCCTTCTGGCCGGCCCCACGCTGTCAGCCTCCGGGCACCGCCGTCCCTGGCAAAAGAGAGCAGGCGCCACGTTTCTCAACCCGCCCTACCGAACGCCCCCTTCCCGCTCACATCTCCCACCGTCCGTCCTCATCAAACGGCGAATATACGCCCACGTGTGCCCGGTCTTTCCCGCGCCGGAAGGAAAGAGAAACTCGCGCGATACAGCGGCGCTGCGCACGGCTCACCAACCCGGTATCTCGCGGCGGGTGGGGACAGCCACGCGGGCCGCCGATCTCGTATCCGACGGTTCGCGCGCCGTCGCCAGGTACATCGCCGTGGCCGCGCGGCGCCTCAACGGCTATAACTGGGAGAGAAAGGACGCGCATGTTACCCGCCATCTCTGTCCCCCTGCTTCCTCTTGCCCCCCACCACCACCCCTCGCCCGCAGGTGGGCCCGGCCGCCATCCTCCTCCTTTGAGAGCGGGCCGGCCGGCCGGCCGGCGGTGATCGGCATTGCGGGTTATCTGGTGGGCCGCGACATGGCGGGGTACGGGGACCGGCGATCGCCGCCGCTGGAGGGCATCACCGTCGTCGACGGGGGCAGCAGGGCGCAGTCGCCCGGGGCGGGTGCGGGGGCGGGGAGGCTCCCGCCGCCGCCGGGAGGGTTCGCGCGCGGGCTCATGAAGCAGCCGTCGCGGCTGGCGTCGGGGGTGCGGCAGTTCGCGTCGCGGGTGTCGATGAAGGTGCCCGAGCGGGTGGCCGGGATGCGGTCGGGCCGGATGACGCGGATGCAGTCCAGCGCGCAGATGGGGCTCCGCGGCCTGCGCTTCCTCGACAAGACCTCCGGCGGCAAGGAGGGCTGGAAGGCCGTCGAACGCCGCTTCGACGACATGACCAAGGGCAGCGGGCGACTCCAGAAGGAGAGCTTCGGCAAGTGCATCGGTAAGTAAGAGTACTGGTGTACTACTGCTCCTGCTCGATCGAGATTGCCTCTTCTGTCGGTTGGCCACATGCTGCCTAAGTGCTTTGGTTTGATCCAGACTGGAAATAAATTCCAAATAATCGATCGCTGAGATACTGATAAGAACCGCAAGGCACTGACACGACAGTACAGCAATGGTTTCTTTCTTACGCTTGCTTTAGGAATTCTTGCTTGTTTTCTTTTTTATATAGGTAAAGTACACTTTCCAACTCTCAACTCGCGTCGAAGTTCGATTTTCAACCTTCAACTATAGAACCGGTTAAAAACACCTTTCAACTATTAAAACTGGACAAATTTGGTCCTCGGCTGATTTCAAAAACGGTTTTCTATTTTCGTGAGACACCGAAATTTTATATTATATTTTTAAGCATATTAACGTCCTCAAATGAAAAAAACTCAAAACTACAAAGTTGTAGATCGTATAAAAAATATTTTTATTTAACTCCATACAAATAATATATTAGTGCTCTAATATGGCAAGCGCTAGTAGACGATTATTATGGTGTTGAAATTTATATTATTTTTTTGAGCATCTTACTATCCTCAAATGAAAAAATTAAAACTATAAAGTTGTAGATCTCATCGATGTCTACAATTTACATATAAAAATTATCTTCATCCGACATCGTATTGAAGGGTTATGATTTTTCGAAATTTGAGTCTTGTCATGCGACAAAACAATACTGTAACGTGACGAGATTCAAATTTTGAAAAATTATAACCCTTCGATACGATGTCGGATAAAGATATTTTTTATATGTAAATTGTAGACCTCGATGATATCTACAACTTTATAGTTTTAATTTTTTTCATTTGGAGACAGTAAGATGCTCGAAAAAATAATAGAAAATTTCAACACCATAATAATCGCCTACTAGCACTTGCCGCATTAGAGCACTAATATATTATTTGTATAGAGTTAAATGAAAATACTTTTTATACCAAAGTTGTAGCTCTCAATGAGATCCACAACTTTATAGTTTTGAGTTTTTTCATTTGAGGACGTTAAGATGCTAAAAAAAATAATATAAAATTTCGTCGCCTTCCGAAAATTGAAAACCGCTTTTGAAACCAGCCGAGGACCAAATTTGTCCAGTTTTGATAGTTGAAGGGTATTTTTTAACCGGTTTTATAGTTGAAGGTTGAAAATCGTTGAGGGTTGAAAAATGTACTTTAACCTTTTCATTTTTGTGCTTGAAACAGTTCTTTAATGCTACCTTGAACTGTGTCTGTTTCCCCCAAAGAGTTGGCAGGAAGCTCACAAGCCTACCAAACTGAGATACACCGTCATTCGCTCCCCAAGGGTCTTCCCAAATTAGTCATGCTGATTGAAAAAAAAAATACTCTTCCCAAATTTTAGTGAATTTTCTCCAAAGTGGTCCTTGAGCAGTAGTCGATCAGCTCGAACAAACAAGATTCTAGCTAGTGACCATCACCATATAATTCCACCCATGCTTTCATCTGTCAGCAAATTGAAGCAGGCGAGGCAAATGCAATAGTATCACTAAAATCATTTGCTGGCGAGCTGTTCGTGTTGCTGGTGCCCATGATCAATGGATGATCCGTGGCTGACTGATTGATCTCATTCTCAAGGCATGGGGGACTCCAAGGAGTTTGCCGGCGAGCTGTTCGTGGCGCTGGCGCGGAGGCGGAACCTGGAGCCGGAGGACGGCATCACCAAGGAGCAGCTCAAGGAGTTCTGGGAGGAGATGACCGACCAGAACTTCGACTCGCGGCTGCGCATTTTCTTTGACATGTAAAGGTCCACCGCCCCTCGTTCCTGCCCAAACGGCACGCCCATTATTCAACTACTGATGAAACGAATTCTCCTCTGCGTCTGACTCAGGTGCGACAAGAACGGTGATGGGATGCTCACGGAAGATGAGGTCAAAGAGGTGAGCGATGGCAACTTATCTATCACGATTTGGTTGATCAAATATTTAGGAGTAGATGAACTTATCAAATTATCAACGAATTAATTTGCTTTTTTATTTGTTCTCCTGGCAGGTTATTATACTGAGCGCGTCAGCGAACAAGCTGGCCAAATTGAAGGGTCACGCCGCGACCTACGCGTCCCTGATCATGGAAGAACTCGACCCGGACGACCGCGGCTACATCGAGGTCGTGCTCGTGCAGAAACAGCATTTGCTTTTTGTCCAACAGGGATGAATGGTTTGCGTTGCTTACAACCAACAGTGTGCTCCAAACAATGCAGATTTGGCAACTGGAGACTTTGCTCCGGGGCATGGTGAGCGCGCAGGCGCCCGAGAAGCTGAAGCGGACGCCGTCGAGCCTGGCGCGGACGATGGTCCCGTCGCGGTACCGGAACCCGCTGAAGCGGCACTTGTCCAAGACGGTGGACTTCATCCACGAGAACTGGAAGCGGATATGGCTCGTGACACTGTGGCTGGTCGTCAACCTCGTCCTGTTCGTGTACAAGTTCGAGCAATACAAGCGCCGAACTGCGTTCCAGGTGATGGGCTACTGTGTCTGCGTTGCCAAGGGCGCCGCCGAGACCCTCAAGCTCAACATGGCCCTCATCCTGCTGCCCGTCTGCCGGAACACGCTGACGACGCTCAGGTCCACCGCGCTCAGCCATGTCATACCCTTCGATGACAACATCAACTTCCACAAGATCATGGCGCTGTCGATCGCAGTCGCCACAGCGATCCACACACTCGCACACGTGACCTGTGACTTCCCAAGGCTGATCAGCTGCCCAACGGACAAATTCATGGCTACCTTGGGGTCCAACTTCCACTACAAGCAGCCGACTTACCCGGACTTGCTGGAGAGCATACCTGGGGTCACCGGAATCCTCATGATCATCATAATGTCCTTCTCCTTCACGCTGGCAACACATTCCTTCAGGCGGAGTGTGGTGAAGCTGCCATCGCCGCTGCACCACCTTGCCGGTTTCAATGCCTTCTGGTACGCCCACCACCTGCTGGTCATTGCGTATATCCTGCTGGTGGTGCATTCCTACTTCATATTCCTCACCAGGGAGTGGTACAAGAAGACGGTAAGCCTCAGGCACCTTGCTTTGAGATGAAACTAAACCCCCCCCCCGAGCAGTGAAATGACATGCCGATGATCTCAACTGTTCATGCAGACATGGATGTACCTGATTGTCCCTGTCCTCTTCTATGCCTGTGAAAGAATCATCAGGAAATTTCGTGAGAACAACTACCATGCGCCAATTGTGAGGGTAAGCTATTGAACTAAGATCTGTTTGGACCAGTTAAGCTTTTTATAAGATGCAATAGCCGGAGGGAGCCAGCTAATAGCTTTTTATAAGTGGGTTGGTTGAATAGTTCAAAAAGGTCTATAAACTGGACTATAAGCTGAACTGTGTAGATCAGCTAGAGTTTGTTTAGCAGCTAGAAACTTATTTTAGTCAATCCAAACAGGGTTAAAATTTTTGGTTCATTCTGACTGTTAATCATTAATCAAATGCTGACTGGTCCATTCTGACTGTATATGCAGGCAGCAATTTATCCTGGAAATGTGCTCTCTATTCACTTTAAGAAGCCACAGGGTTTCAAGTACAAGAGTGGGATGTATCTGTTTGTAAAGTGCCCAGAAGTCTCACCTTTCGAATGGTATCATTTCGTAAATTGTTGCATACATCTCCAAGAAGTAATTTATCTGTGGTTCTTGCTTACAATTCTCCGATATTTGCAGGCACCCCTTCTCTATAACTTCAGCACCAGGCGATGACTACTTGAGTGTGCATATCCGCACGCTGGGTGACTGGACATCCGAACTTCGGATGCTTTTTGGGAAGGTTAGTTTGAGGCAGCACAACTGTAGAAGTTGGAAGAGTAGCAAGACTGTTTTAAAAAAAAATTATAGCAGAATAATCAATAATGTGGACTACCAGAAAAGAATAATGTAGATTTTTCGCACAGGCTTGTGAGGCACAAGTAACTTCCAAGAAGGCTACCCTTACAAGACTTGAAACTACAGTTGTGGCAGACGCCCAGACAGAGGACACTAGGTGCTTAACTTTTTTCTTTTTGGCACATCCTATAGTTTGATTGGTTTTTTATAAGTTACTGCAACTTTACGTATTTATTAACCTGGTCAGCTTTGCTGTGTTTTCTTTAGGTTTCCCAAGGTCTATATAGACGGGCCATACGGTGCACCAGCACAAAATTACAGGAAATATGACATTCTTCTGCTTATTGGTCTTGGAATAGGAGCAACTCCTTTCATCAGCATACTGAAGGATATGTTGAACAACCTAAAATCCACCGAAGTAATTTTCCTTTTTAATGCATATTTTCGATACTGTTAAGAAAATCAAGGGTAGCTGATAACTGTACTGAGTTGATTAAACAGGAGGTGGAAAGCATCCACGGCTCTGAGATAGGCAGCTTCAAGAACAATGGTCCAGGAAGGGCTTACTTCTACTGGGTCACCAGAGAGCAAGGATCTTTCGAATGGTTCAAAGGAGTCATGAATGAGGTTGCTGGGAGCGACCACAGCGTACTGTCTCACTCTCATTTCTCTTAATTGCTTTTTCACATGACATCCCTCTACAGTAGAACATAAACTAAGATGAAATCTGGCTACTGCAGAATGTTATAGAGATGCACAATTACCTGACCAGCGTGTATGAAGAAGGTGATGCAAGGTCAGCTCTGATTGCCATGGTCCAGTCACTTCAGCATGCCAAAAACGGCGTGGATATCGTCTCCGGCAGCAAAGTATATGATGAATTCCTTTTTGCTCGACTGTAAATTGTTTTGCATATGTTATTTGTTTTGTTTAACGGAGCTCTCTGTTGCAGATTCGAACACATTTTGCAAGACCAAACTGGAGAAAGGTATTCTCTGATTTGGCCAATGCACACAGGAACTCTCGCGTAGGTGAGCCACTTGTTAGTGAACATCGGGTGACACGAAAGTTTTCAGCTTCAGTACAGCAATTAATATTTTCTCTAAAAAATTCCAGGAGTTTTCTATTGTGGATCTCCAACGCTCACAAAACAACTCAAGGATCTTTCGAAAGAATTCAGCCAGACAACCACAACTAGGTTCCATTTCCACAAGGAGAACTTCTGAGACCACATATACTCGAAGCTTCGACGGATTGAAAACATAATTGTATAGGAAAGAATACGATAGCATTGGCATAGCAGATTTAGTTTTACAAGTTTTGATGTCCGCAGGGTTGTACAAAATATATATGTGTACAAAGCTAGATGTCACCATCATACATAGATTCCGAAATGCTTACAGATATCTATATTGGAGAAGTGAAACTACTTTCTTCCTAGAATAACCGAGTTCCAGATCGTGTGCTTTGAGCACGCAAATTTTCTCTTTTCAGTTTCTCTGCCCGAGCTGTCATTGCATTGCGAATAAGGGTGTTGTTCTGTTTCCTAGAAGATTCTTGTGTATCATCTTGCACTGGCACAAGCGCCAGAGAATCTCTTTCGGCGCTCTGTGCATTCCTGTTTTTTGGAGGCCTGCCTCTTTTTTTAGGCTGAATATCAGCAGATAAAGATCTATCTTTTCGAGGCCTGCCCCTCTTCCTAGGTTCATTACTAGCCTGCAAGCATGCTTGAGCATTTCCTTCTGTTATGACAGTCACTAACTGGCCACTAATGTCATTGGGCGTAGAAGCTGGAAGCAAACCTGGCACATTATTTGATTGTTGCCCTTGGCCTTCTACTCTAACTATCGCCATCTGATTGTTTGCACCATTTCCCTGGGATATTGTAACTGTATGTGATGTTTTCTTCATACTATCATCCATTGTAGCATATATTTTCCTTGGTCTACCCACCTTCGGTTTGCTGAAGTCAGAAACTGATCCCTTAAGTTTGCACTTGTCCATAACAAGTGTTTTGAGTGGAACAGTTATGTCCAATGGCAGTAGAACTTCCTCAAGTTCACGCCATTCAAGATCTTCCTGGTCTCCGTCATCATAAATGATGTTGTACCAGTTGCTTTCACTGTCATACTTGGCCACTTTCCCTACGTAATGCGTGTCTCCAAAAAGCTTCCGCACTTTCCTCCCTTCTAACCATTCACCAAATCGAGGATCAACCTGAGGTTCTGTGTCAATTTTTACTAAAGATTGAGAACCAGCTGTGGAATCAGAGGGTAAATCTGGAACACCATTGATAATGATGGCAGGTTCTCTGTGAACTTTGAGGATAAATGTGGTTTCTGAATCCTGCTTGCCATCAGCCCCCTCCATGGTTTTCTATAGAAAAATATGGAAAAATCAGGAAACAAATTCATATGTGCTAGACTGCTAGCACTAAGAGTTCAATCAAGAGTTCACAGGACAAGTGGCAATGAACTACGGAACTCATCGTTCACCAAACAATCATATTGTGCAGGATTTACATGAGTTAGTGAATTTGAGACATAAAACTTATATTAGCGAACACCTAGGAAGAACTGACACTACATGGGACTTTATTACACCAATGGTGGGTTTCAGCATGGACACTGGAACATACAGTACATGCATAATTGTGTTAGAAAATGAAAATTTACAGTGCATCCTGAACCTCAAAACTAATGCGGGTACTTTCATCTGTCAAGCCAATATAAGCATTGCCATCCTGAACCTCAAAACTAACACTGGTACTTTCATCTGTCAAGCAACAATATAAACATTGTACTAGGATACAACTTAGCAATCAGCAGGTCACACTTGAACTGGTGGTTTCCAATTGGATTTCTGGTTTAGGAATCAACTTCCACATAATCAAATACAAATTTAAAACATAATAATGACCATTACATCAGCTTTACTTTTGCTATTGTAGTTTCAAAATTAAACTAAATTGAGACTAGTTACTAGGCATTCCAGGGAAAAGGCTGTGAGAAGTGTCAGGTATCATTACTTTTTCTCCCAAGGACTGTTTAGGGTAGGGGAAGGGTGAAAGCTAATCTGCTTTACTATCCCAACTTCTAACACTAACCCACTACTCAGATATAATCATTAGAATTCAGCTTTCTAAGTCTGCTCAAGAAATGAGTACATAAAATTCCTGATTGCATCAGACACAAATTAGGTTAGAAATTTCAGTGGAATAATCAAATGATGCCCACATTGAGCACACAAGTAGATGTTGGGTTGAACCTGCTTCACTGTGCATTCCCCAGTGAAACAAATAAGCTATTTAGTACAAATAATGAGCTAAATTTGGTAAAATGCCACCATTTGCTCACTGGACTTATGTCAATCAGACAAGTAAATATGACACAACAGGATTCAGGAATTGGCTACCGAAACACGATACAAGGCCAGCAGTTGCCCATGGTCTGAAGACAAGTACCCATGCAACAGCAAATTGTTACTATAACTTAGGTTATTTCAGTTCATCGTACTAGAGATTCACAATATATTGCGCAATTAAAAATCCTAAGCAGCCACTACAGAATTATACAATCAATTCGAGTTAAAACCCTAGGTCAAATTAAGAAGTACACAGTCACACAGAACTCAGTCAGAATACCAACAAATTCATCACGCCACAAAAGCAAAACTAGTAATGCGAGATCCAGCAGAAATAAATCTAAAAAAAAAAGGAGGGATTAATCTGACCTTGCGAACAGCGGTGGTGAGAAGTAGATCGGGGAAGTGTGTGGCGGCAGGCAGTAACAACAGGGTGGTGCAGGGCGGCGGCGGTGTGACGAGGCGCGAGGAGGCGACCGGCGGGTGGCGTCGTCAGCGGGAGGCAGCAACCGGAGCCCCGCGCGCGCGGCGTCGAGGAGGCGCGCGGACGGCGGCGGTGTGCCCACGTACGAGGAGGCGACCGGTGGGTAGCGGGGGGAGGCAGCAACCGCAGCCGCGCGCTGCGGCGGCGAGGAGGCGCGCGGGCGGTGGCGGCGAGGAGCCGCGCGGGCGGAGGCGGTGTGAGGCAGCCTGCAACAGATGCTACCGACTACTGAGTTTTTTCTTTTTCTATTTTGATTTTGACGGAAGCCAACGGACGTTAACGGAGGCTAAGCAAGTTGTCTAACCAATTAGGCTAAGCTCAGTTAGCAATGGGTCTAACCAATTAGACTAAATTCTATATCAAAAAAGAAGAAGACTAAACTCAGTTCGCTATTGATGAAATGGACGTGAGCCTTACGTAAAAAATGTTGAGGCCTTGAGGGGACAAAACGGGCAGGCCAAGGCCCAACCAAGAGCCCAAAAGAGTTGCGAGCTGGGCAGCTCGGCGAGAAAGGCTTTCAACAGCCAGTGCAAACATTGCAACTGAGAAGTCATACGTAAGATTGGCTACTTTACAGCTAGTTTAAAAGTGGTATATTTTTACGTTGCAACGGAGGGGAAGGGAAGTTTCTCCCACCTGATTCATTTATCAAAGTAGTGCACACTATCAAAATGGTTGTACCACTGTTTTGTGAAAAGAAGCGTATTGCATATCTACGTACTGGTACACAGTATTTGCAACGTTACTGTCTGTCTATGTCTATCAGCCCCACAAAAATTTAGGGTAGGCTCGCCGCTGTCAGGTGCCAGGTTAGCGTGGTTAGGCCCATAAGTGAGCTCACTATCATGGGCTGCTTTTTATCAATCTGGACACTTCTTTTTGTGGCCCAGAATTCTGAACTATTGTTCCAAGGCGTCTCGAAAGAAAACTCCAAGAGAATTTTTACAAGTTTATTTGTCGATGCAGAAAGTGACCAACACGTAAATATTTGTAGTTTCGCCGTACGTTGTGATCGGATGTGACCTAGCACTCAATGACACAGGGTTTATACTGGTTCAGGCAACGTGCCCTACGTCCAGTCAGAGTCGGTCGATGACTTTATTCCTGAGCCCAGATGCTCGAAGTTTGCTGTGGGGTTACAAACGAGAGGGAGAAAGATAGGGGGTGCAATAGGTCCGGTCGGACTCCGGATTGAAGGGCCGAGAGTGACGGGAGCTCCTACATGCGCTAAGTATTCGAGCGTGTGCTCTGTGTAGCTTTAGAGTCTAAAGCTAGCAAAGGTGAATCAATCGTTAGTTGTTCGAATCGTTGATATGTGTTCGAGCTGTGTGTCTTGTTGTCTCCGAGTGTCCGAATTGATCGTGAGAGCGCATCCCCTTTTATAAATGAAGGAGACGGCCTTACAAGTGAGAGAGAGAGAGAGAGAGTATATATGCTATTAAGTCTTGTTGCCCACACCGTCGGGTACAAGATGATTGTAGGCGTCCATAATACTGTTCATGTCAGACGCATGTGGGAGACTTCACCGTATTCACCATCTATGGCAAATGACGGCGCCCACAACATTGCTAATGCTCAGAGGCATGTGGGGGGTTTTACCGTGTTCGCTTGGTATGGGAATTGATGGCGCCCACAACACTGTAGGGCAAATGTCAGCGCCCACAACACTGTTTGGGTTCTGACATGTCCGAAGGTTGCATGGCACCCTTCTGACATGTCCTGTCGGTACTGTTCTGCAGGTGTACATGGTACGGTCCTTGGTATTACGGTTGACTTGAGCGCCCTGCCTTACTTGCTCCGCCCGTTTCCTGGGTCCCCACTGAGCGGGCGTCCCCAATCAGTTAGTTCCGGTCGGCTCCGACTGCGCTAGTCGGAGAAGAGTTTGGTGCATCCCCGGTTAGAGACGCGGGTCGGAGTCGGAAGCGGCGTTGGCCAAGCCTTCCGGTCGGAGAAGCGGGTCAGAGTCGGAAGCGGCGTTGGCAGACCTTATGGTCGGAGAAGCGGGTCGGAGTCGGAAGCGGCGTTGACCAGGCCTTCCGGTCGGAGAGGCGGGCCGGAGTCAGAAGCGAGGCCTTCCGGTCAGAGAGGCGGGCCGAAGTCGGAAGCGAGTGTCGTTCCTCCTTGGCTAGGCCTTCCCGTCGAAGAGGCGGGCCGGAGTGGGAAGTGAGCATCGTTCCTCCTTGGACTGGCCTTCCGGTCGGAGACTGGATCGCCATTCTGACCTGTCGTTTAGGTATTTCGGGCCGACCCAGGAGTTACGCGTCGTTCGCAACGTTGTTTACTGGGCCGAGCTTAAGCCGGGAAAGCAGATCCATGAGGGACCCCGGGTTTATGAACCCGACATTATTAATATAGTTTACTTGCTAAATAAATAGCAGCATGTTCATTTTGGTTTATTCGCTCGTATCTTGCTTATAATCCACGGCTTGAACAGTGTTTTTCTCTCACACCAAACCAGTCAGCAGTACTTTCAGCCATGGCTTATAAGTCAATTCAGCCGAAACGAACAGGCTGTAGATCTAGTAGTAATACTCCATCCGTCCCAAAAAAAAGTGATGTTGTGTGATTTAAAATTTTGTTCTTCTACAATAGTCTGCTATAATAGCTTTCTAAATTATTTTGCATTAGGAACCCGAACTATATCTAACCAACCAATTTTTTAATAGTTTTTTTTGTCTCTTACTGCTTTCTCATCTTGACCCTTTATTTTCTTAATTTACTCAGGGTCCAATTTACTTTGATCTCCCCAAAACAACAATCGAAGGCGAGTGTGTATGGAATTCCTCTCGACTAGGAAACTTTTGAGTTTGAAGAGGATATTTGACTACTTTTTTTTATAAGAAGCTCTTTTACTAAACTATTTGAGGGCACTTTCCCACTTTTTTGCTAAAGAATAAAAATAGCAAGTTATTTTACAAAACTCCTAGACATGCTCTAATATTTGAAAGCATTGGTACTCTATTTGGTACCTATGGTCCTGACTTTGTTTCTTCCAGATCACAATACAACACAAACACTTATGCATACTTATTCTATGAATCACGTAGACATATCTAACATTTATGAGTACCTCCAAAGAATTAGGATTGAACCGATATATCTTGAAATTGATGAAGTCACTGCAGATACCTCATTGTTGATGAGCACGTTGTCTACCATTAAAAGAACAATAACGTCCTTAAATCATGGAATAAATCCAAAAAATATGATCACTATTCTTTGACAACAGTATCAATTTTTTTTTGTTTTAATGCATATGGTGATTGTGATAAATATTTTCACATGAAATTATATGACCTAATCCGTAAAGATTATTTGATAATCACAACAGAAACTATTATATTTAAACTCTAATTGCTGCGAGGCGTGCATTAATTGTTCAAAAATGTCTAAGCTGATAGCCTACCATTACTAACATATATATTGTGAACTACACTAAGCAAGTGGCAAAGGTACCACTGGCTAAGTGGCTAGCTACATTTGTACAGGGAACATTTCATTAACATTTTTAAGACAATATTAC